TTATTGTCTGTTGGCCGAAACGCCTGAATCTGAGAACCAAAGTCATCTTTAGGACTCAAAGCTCTTTTCCACTTCACTGGTTTCGAAAACAGAGCACCGGAATCTACCACCAAAGGAATATCGGTTTGTAGGCAACGAACTAAAAATGCTAATTTTACTTATTAAGTATAAAACAATAGACATAAAAACAACAATTGGAACTTGTCGCAAGTGGCAACGTGCTCCCCATACTTTCTTTTCCCACCATAGTTCGATTCCTAGCTAGCTGTAGTTTAAACCAATCTATTCTTTTAAATATGAAGTAAAAAATCTTACGTGACTTTCTCCCATCGATTTGAAAGTGGTTGATTACAAGGATATTCTCTAAAAAATAATATATTTATGCTCTTCGCCATCGTTTGGTTATTACGGTATTTACCACTGATTTCGTTCGTAAATATTCTGTTGGACTTTGTTAAAAATTGTTATTGTCTAGGCCCACATATATATTAATATCGAGCCTCCTCATTTTGATATGATCGAATTAATATGACAAGTTTCCATATTTATCTTATCATAGTAAGAAAATATTATATTTTAATATTTGATAATTATCGTAGTATGTGTAGCCCTAATATTTTCACACATATAAATATATATAGATGTGTTTAATCGTTTCATAATATTTTTAAACATTGCGTCGTTATAATATATAGATGTGTTTAATCGTTTCATAATATTTTCACACATATAAATATATATAGATGTGTTTAGTCGTTGTTCTGGCTTTTATTTTTACGATAAAACAAATATATAAGGTGAATATAAGTGCGTGGATGGTATAATGTTAATAAATAATTTTAAATGTTTATTAAAACATTAATGAAAATAATAAATAAATCAAAACATTCGAGATAATTAAAATAATAAATGTGGGTATTAAAAAATAAAGAGATCTATATAAATGTTATTCCGCACAGGGCGCGGGTAATGCCCTAGTAAAATTCATTAAAAATGAAGGACACTTTGCTCTAATCCAACGGTTTCAAACAAACATTGTAACAAAGAATACTCTGCCACAAGACTGCATCGCCACAAGACCTGCCGCAGAGTCCCATGATATCTTGAATCAGTTCTTAGTCCTTCCAATTTCCCCGACGGCTTTGGATGGTCATTCGACCAGGAAAAGCCTCTTCTTCTCCATGATTCCCATTTGGTAAACACCATAGTTGTATTCATGATTGTGGTGTAATAATCTTGGTTTTAGATGAGCCTCGGACATTATTTCCAAGAACTTATCCTATTAAAAAGAGTTATTTATAAAAATGTCATATAAATGAGTTTTAATTTTAAAAATGTCACATAACCAAACTCCTCCTTCACACTATTATTCCGAAAATACTCCCTAATTTCTATGTAATATTCTGATCGAAAAAAGCAATGTTCTAAAAAGCGTTCTAGGTGTCCGTCTAGGCGGAGTTTAGGCGTTAGGATAGACCGTGACGATTAGCGCTTATGCCGCCTA